ATCGCTAGTAGGTTGGAGGCCATCGCTAGTAGGTTGGAGGCCATCGCGAGTAGGTGTGAGGCCATCGCTAGTAGGTTGGATGCCATCGCTAGTAGGTTGGAGGCCATCGCTAGTAGGTTGGAGGCCAGCGCTAGTAGGTTGGTGGAGGCCATCGTAGCTAGTAGGTTTTTGGAGGCCATCGCTAGTAGGTTGCTGGAGGCCATCGCTAGTAGGTTGTTGGAGGCCATCGCTAGTAGGTTAGAGGCCATCGCTAGTAGGTTGGAGGCCATCGCCAGTAGGTTGGAGGCCATCTAGCGCCCCCTTTGCTCATAGACGTAGGCGTGAGCTCAGTGAGCCTGGTCCCAACGCATGCACACAGTGGAGACTTACCTGGCCCTTGCAACAACTGAAACTCAAGGGTGTGTGCTCCGGAGAGGCATGCCTAGAGGCACAACTTTATTTTCTTCGCGTTTTTTTTTTTACAATGTTTTATTTTGCTGACTGTATCCTTTGATCATGCTGAAGTTCAATGGCAACGTGGATCCTCTTCGCTGCTGAATAGATGGGCAAAACACATACTCCAAAAGCGTATAGTGACCCCAGGCAGGTAGCCTGAAATACCACTTACCACTGAACATCAAGTTGTTTTTGAATGATGCAGCTAAGGTGCCCCCATCCCAGAAGGATGTTCGAGAATTCACGCCATGTTCGAACAAACTCTCGTTTTCAAATAGGCCATTTAATCCACCTTCCATTCTTGAAAGGTTTTCCTTTCCATCATTAGACAGTATGGTGAATGCGTAGCGTCATAGGTGGCACGCCAGTTCCATGTCCGCCAAGACAATCCGACCGAGGCAAATACGCCAAGACCATGCGCCTCACAGCAGACTTGGCGCTGGTGCATGATGAGACCTATGCTGCGATTGTGGCTGTGGCGGTAGAAGATGGTTAGGATTGCCCCGACTCTCAGCTCTCCGGACGACCGTTGACACGAATGTGTCAAAATGAAGGTTGGTTTGTCCCATGTACGACCGTTGACGGAAGATGATCCCTCAAACTCTCGGGTTCCCTCTTAAATATGGTTGCATGGAAACCGTCCCACTGACGAAATCCTGCACCACCTACCTGCATGGACCCAACAACATTCTCCCTAGGCCCTAGGCAATAGGGGTGCGGGGCTGCTGGTCTGTCAGGTGTGGGTGAGTTATGTGTCAAAGTGGTGCAGGATTTCTTCCGTCAGCCGAAGAAACCGTGGAGATTTCACTACTTCGTGCATCGGCTTATAGCCTTTTGCATTTGTCATGTGCGCAGCGTCAAAGACAAATCTTCGGTCGCAGCGTCGAAGCCGCAACAATCCACACGACCAACCTTCGGCTGCAAACGCTCCAGGAACCCTCAAAGAGTGCACAGCATGGACCCACCACACGCTTTACAATCAACCCTACAGTCAACACCACAATCAACGCTGCAAACATGCAGGCAGGGCCAGCAAACTACAAGGGGCGTTCAAGAATTTGTGTTCAAGAATATGTGTGAACATGTTGGGAATGATTCGAACTGTTTCTTAAATCATCTCCATCAAGTGTGGTGGCCCAGCCAGCCTTTTGACAGTGTTGACTGAGTGTTGACTGTAGTGTTGACTGTCAGAACATGTAATTGGAACGCTTAGTTGTTTGGATACTTGATACTACCCCATGCACCCCATGTTCTATTGGAGGTCTTTCTGTTTCTACTTTCTTCGACTAAAAGACGAAAGAATCCCTGCACGGCTGCAGTATCTGATACCCTCCCTCATATATCCTCATATTGCTATCACATGCAGTGAATGTTCTTGGTTAGCTGCAAAGATTGGGCTGTTCACTCTATATAGGCCGTCACTGTCTACTGTGATGGACAATTTCCTTACTGTAGGGGGTGGTTTGGGGGGGAACCCATGCTTCCTTGGAACAACAAGGGCTTGGAAGCAGACCGCGTTAGGAGCTCCTTCAACTGGAACTGGTTTAAGGCTAAGGATGTTTTAGGCGGGTGCCGACAGTGTCGACACTGTACATGTTCGTTTGGCCACACATTGTTTATCCTGGGATGACCTATTACATACATATAATATCATATATAATATATGTCATAAAGTTGACAATATGTGATTGGGTCAGCAGTTGGCAGTCATTCATCCTGTCTCACATGAGACTGGTGCGTGACTGTCTGGTTTATTTGACTTTGAGTGGGGGACAAATGTTTGGGCTGCTGTTGCCCTTCCTTGCAAGTTGCTTGATTGATTCATTTGGATTGCTTGAGTTCACCCACAACAGCAAACACTATCACTATGACAACAACAGCAACAACAACAACAACAAGAAAGCAACAACAAAATTAGCAGCATAACCAACAACAGTGACAACGTTGTTACCAGTTATTAACGGTACATCGTATATAGATGATGACTCCTATGCAGGTTCGCATCATGATTCTTTTGGTGCACATATGCGGGCGACCAGGACAGTCCAGCGGGGTCTCTGAATTCTTAGTCCGAGGTCAAAGAATACGCCTCAGACTATGCGAAGTTCGACGCAGACTTCGCAGATGCGTGGTACAAGTTGATGCACCGATCACAAGCACATCCAAAGGAGGAGGACCTCAGAAAGGAGGTTGGGGTTTGCACCAACTTTGAGTTTGTAAAGTGATGAGTAATTCGCATGAGCATTGTAAAGGCACTTGGGAACCTCTGCATGAGTCATGAGGTGCAATTGTTTGACCCTTTAGACCACTTTTGTTCAGGTCCCCGAGATTTCTCTTTCGTGCCCGTATCTGGACAATACCCACTTGGGCATTTATTGTAGCGCATGGCTCGCAGCTCGTTTTGAGACCAGTCGCGCTGTTTGGTCATGCATCATATGGCCATTTTCCTTGTACAGGCCCAGTAGGTGGGATCCAGCTTCTCCAAAAGCGAGGGGAGCTGAACAGTCGAATGGAACAAAGTCCAGGCCTTCGGCGCTTGAGCTGACACTAAAAGATGCTGTGATTCAGTTCTGTTGCAGGGATGACCTCTCAACTTTCACTAAACTTCCGCCTCAAACAGTGGGTCCAGTGCATCTCACTTCTTGCAGTGGCTTACCGCTAGAGACCTGCGGAAGGAAGCGGCAGCTGGAAATCCCCACCCCTAAAACAACTTCATGACGACTCTCCGGTGCGCGCGACTCTCCGGTGTGACAAGTGCCGGGATCTCCCAAACTGATCTCCCACTTCCGATGAGTTGTTTGGAACCAGGCCTTGCGTGTTTGAATGCTTGACTCTTCCGTTCATGTATATATATATATATATATGCTACCCCCCCCACCAATACACACCTTTTGCGATACATTCCAATTCATTTTGTTAGTAGTATCTAATGCAAGTTGCAATTGCAAATATAGTAATTAATGGATATAATTGATCATGTGATTTTCAACATTGTCGACTCAATAATTTGCTACATTGGACTTGCAATTCAAAGTATGAATCTCATGGTGCACAAGTGTGAAGACCCCACAAAAAGAAAGACAACAACTTACAGAAGAAATTGTGTACGTGACAATGAACAATATTATATGAGCACTCCAATTCATACTGTCAGTTGCACCCAGTGCAAATGCACGTATGATAATTGATGAATACAACTGATTATATGAGTTGTTAGTTTTTTTGTTACACCGTGACATTACATTTAAACAACTCAAATTTGGAATTTAACATTCTATATTTGTGACAGTCACAAACATTGGGTTTACGCAACTGGAACATTGACCTGCATGCTTTATAATTGTGCATATCACAGGGTAACACATAAACTTACAGAACTATTTGTGTGCATGACAATTGATCATATCATATCAATATTCCAGTCTGATATGATTGTATAAAATGATTTGGTTTGCCCATCACTCAAGTCAAATCGTCTTCATAGATCGTGAAGGCATCACTGTTCACTGAATAGGCCTTAATATCATTTTCTGAAAGTTTTTCTTTTAATGCTTCATTTACTTTTTTTTTTGCTGAATAGTTATGATATTGACGTAGCAACCCTTTAGTCTAAGCCCATTGACTAATATATTTCTATTGGTGGTGTTTAAGATGCAATAGGTATTGCATGTTTGATTCTTCTTTTTCTACTTCTTGTTGTATGGCATAAATCCTTCCTCCAAACTCACTCTGGCAATGGCATGCCTCCCTCAAAGTGTTAAAACAGTAACTCTTCTGTGCGGTGTTGTGTGATTTTTATAGCAATCCACAGGTGATGTTTCCTAGTTTTTTTGTAATCTTTAGTAGGATCGGTTTCCCATAGTTCATTAACACGCTGGTCATAATTGACTTTATGAATGCATGAAGGAGTTTTAAAACAAAAGGTTATTTCATTGTTTGCTTGCAATAGTTTTCTTTCCATATATCAAGTTATACCTCTTATTGAGAAAGCATTTGATGCCTTCACTTCCACTGTAAACAATGTAAAACTAGATAATTTGCTAATGTCAATGTCATCACTGTAATGTTTCCAACTATTGAAAACAGGTATGAAGTTAATGTGCAAATGCCCAGGTAAAGACTTTAGTCCTGTCAATCTCTAGCAGTTTTGTTGTATCAATGTTTTCATCAAAATCTTCTGATGGGACTATAGTCCTACAATGTGTTTATCAAAATAATCTGATGGGGCTATAGTCCTACATTCATCCAATATTGCATTTGTACAGAATGTCCTTCCGGACCCCTGGTAGCTGTGAACAAAGGATGCAAATGCTGTGGTGTGACGAAAGTCTTCCGAAATCTGCAGAAATCTTAAGAAATCTTAAGATTTTCCTGGAACCAAGAAACCAAGAACCAAGACTGCACAGAAGTCTTGGGCAAAATCTTGGTTCTGATGAGAAGGTTTTCTTGGAACCGAGAACCAAGATTATCCCCAAGACTTCTGAGCAATCTTGTTTCTTGGTTTCTTGGTTCCAGGGAATTCTTAAGACTTCTTAAGACGGTGGAGACGGGGGGTTCCCCGAGCTGCATCATTTGTTCAAGGTGTCACAACTGCAGTGAACCTTCAACCTGCTGGGGTTCGGCATTTGTTTTGCCATGACTCGTGGTTCTTTTGAAAGTACAAGATTGCGCACATATTTCGTTTTTGTTCGCGCAAGTTGACTTTGCACGCAATGTTTTTTAGTTTCCCAAAAACCCGATCTGAGTGAAACTGCCTGAGGAGCAGGTTTCCAGGTTTTTGACTTGGAAAACTATGTTTTTCCACACCCAATCCTCCATGTCAAACTCCTTTTCTCACAACTTCCACAGAGACTTCTGGAAGCAAGTAGCTGGACTTACCAGCCCTTGCGACGCCTTTTGCCTGAAGAGTCCCAACGCTTCCATGACACTCTCCAAGCCAGGCTTTTTGTTCAAGCGGTGCACAGCCAAGAGATTCCTATGTTCAATGGCATCAAAACAAAACATCAAACGCGTGTGCAAATGAACATCAACTTAACATGAAAAAACAACATCAAACCATGTTCGTGTGCTAATACACCCCCCCCACCCCCTGTGTTTCCTTTCTCCTAGAACTAACCTCTGTATGGTCTCACACTTGATGTACATACATGACTGATACATTTGGCTCAAGACTGAGAAAAACCGCTTGCTTTCACAGCCCGACTGCATTCGACTCGTGTCCGAGCATCGTGCGATTGGACCTCTCCCGAGACCGTGTTCCTTTCAAGGGAAATCCACTGCATTGCACTTCCTGTCACCCCCCCCCACCCCCACCCCCGCGAACATCCAGTGACATCGAAAACTTGACAGAATCTCTCGGAGACATGAACTTCTCGGAGAACCCCCCGTCCGGAGGGTCTCAAGATTTCTGCAGATGTTTTAATAATGTTCTTGTTTGCTTCTTGTTCTCAGATATAATCTTCACCTGAGGACATATATATATATATATATGGTACTCCCCTTTCAATTAACTGATAGATTATCACCCCCAAACATGGTACCACCCCTCCAGAAAGTGTTCCAAACAATCATGTGAAAAAAGGTCTCAAAGTATCACTCAAAAAGATGAGCCCAAAATAGCACTAACACATTGTAATTTACAGTATAGAACACACAAAGGGTGTGTATTGGAGGGGGGGTATCATATATATATACTGTATATATATACACACTATATCTATATATATATACACACTATATCTATATATATATATACACACTATATATAAACATTCTCCCTCTCTCCGTATATTATATATATAAGAGTATCTATAACATATGATGTATGGCCGGCATGAGACGAATGCAACACATGATAGCTTGAAATCCAGAAAACATGTTGATCAGGCAGTTTCATACATTTTTTAAAAAACAAAACATCTTCTGTATGGCCTGGCGCTTGGAAACCGCTGAAGATCTTCGCGGAATCCCCTGAGTCGGGTCTTCTGAACCACCGGAGAGTGGTGGGGTGAGTCGATCACCATCTTCAGCTCTCCTTGGAGTGCCCAGGGCTGCCGGCTAGTCCTGCATAGGGCTGCGTCTCTGTTTCGGATTGCAGGGCGATGTGCAGCAGCACTTCCCACCCTTAGGCGATAGCATGTGCTTGGGACAACAAGTCACCGTGTGTCATGTGTTCTTGGGCGGCAAGCCATGCTAACCTTTCGGTTGGGCTACAGCCGCGCCATGGGGATTCATCCATCCATGCATGCGTGCAGGCATTCATTGATCAGTGCTTGCCATGCGATCAACATTTATTCTTTGGAACAAAGATTCGAGTCAAAAAAAGTCTCCCCTGTCGGCGGTTCCTCTAAAGGTTCGGTTTTCAACCACATGGGGTGCCCACCGGTGCGCTGTCTCCGCATGTTTCGACTCCGCCAGGTGCGCTTCCAGCTGGACGGCCGCCTGGGGGAGGCAGCGCTGAACGCCGGCGCCAAGGAGCTCCAGATGCAACGCACCGAGCTCTTTCAGGCGCAGCGTCGTGGTGGTTTCGCGTCGTTCTCGCAGGTGAAGAGCATTGGTGGAACTAAGAATAGATCATCTCGATAATAGTGCATGGTCGTAAAGATCTGGGTTCCAGATTGATCAGACTGGTTGCTGGGTACACACATCATTAATAATTAGTTTCTTTTCTGCAATGTGGAGACCCATTTCGTTAGATGGTTCAGATCAAATCATCCTTGTGACCCGCACCCAGTGTCCTTGATCATACTTGCTCCTTAGAAGCAACCTGCTGCAGGTGAAGATGGCTAGAAGTGTAGCTGTGTAGCTTTATATAGTTTGAAACAACTTTTTGTTCGTTCTGTTTCTCAAAAGGGACTCCCTGGAACCGATGGTCCAAGTGTTTTTGGGGCTTAGGACAACTCCCCAAGATTACAACCGGCTCTTGAGCAGAGGTTTGTTAAAAGCCTGAGTGACCCAGATGTTTTTGGCATGACACCAACGTCAGACTCAAGGGTTGCCCACCAGGAGTCTTGCGAAGGGGTGTAGGAGATTTTGATTGGTTCATCCTTGCTTTTTTCTGCCGCAGGTCACTTCTTAAAGGTGCTCCGATTTTGTAATTTGGTCGGGCTTGCACTATTAAATCCTACCAATGTTGTCCGAACACCGGGTTGTTGGATTTGTACCACGGAATGCCATAAACTATAAACCTGCAAAGCATGAACAGGTCGTTACAGGAAATACTGGCACGAGCGTTGGAAGAGTGCTGCAAACTGATTAACCTTGTGGAACTGAACTCATGGAGCCAAGCTAAGCAGGACGCATGAGTACCGCATCAATGTTGCCAGAGACTGGAACACCAATGCAAGACCACGAACACCACAGGGTGGAAAAGAGACAACACCTGCGGTGTTTTCCCTCCAAGACCACGAGCACCATGACGGTGGACTGTAGATGAGCACCACAGGGGGGGACCCCGCCCTAACTAGTAACAAGAAGCTAGTAGTAACAAGTGCATCGCTACTAGTAACAA